TTAAAAAAATAACTGTAGTAAGAAAAACAAATGAAAAATGCGAACTAATGTAACGTCGTATGGTGAGTTTTTGTTCGTATCGTGGAGCAAAAATATGTTCGAATTTCATGTCGTATCCTGAAAATTTCGTATGCTGGGGCGTTCGTAACCTGAGGTACCACTGTAAATATGTTTTTGAGTAATATGTGCGGTTTTTTCATGATTTGGTATTCGGTATTCGGCCAAATGTTGCGTACTATTCGGCTGAATACCGAATATTAAAAAAAGTAGCCGAATAGGCCGAATACCGAATAGTAGCCGAATATTCGTGGCATCTCTAATATTATTTATGTCAATTTTTATTTTAGATATTTCTAAGTTAGTTAATGTATATTGATTTTAATCATTAAATTGTCTTCAAAACTGCAACATCACTTATTTCTAGCCTAAAATTATAGCTTTAAAAGCAGCCTGAAAAATAATTTGATAGTTTTATTTCAGTTGATAATATAAGTAATATTTGTCGTAAACTAATTCTTTTACAGGCCAATTCGACAGAATTTTTATCATCTTCGTGTAAAAGTTTTAAAGATGAGAACGAAGAATTCTTTAAATGCATTGAAAGACAAAAATGTGAGATTTTAAATTTGTATTTTTCATGAAAAAAAATTTTAGGTACAACTGGCATATTTTTTTATTATATTTACCAAATTTTCTTACATTCAATCACTTTCTATTAGTCTAACAGGTGTTTTTATGTCCATATGGCTGTGTTGCTTAAAATTTCCTGTCTTTTTTTTCCTTTTTACTTACTCATTTAACTATTTAGAATGTCTTTCCATTAGATAATCAGATATTTTCTTTTTAGTAATTGTTTTGTGTAAATTGATATATTCATTTACTGTTTAAATTATATAACATCCCAAGCTGAAACTTTATGATTATTAAAACCTTTAACTGTTGGGTTTGATAATTTGTTTAATTTAAAATAATTTCTGTTCTAGATGCAGACACATGTTGCAATCATGCTACTACAACGGCTTGTAAAAATATATGTAAAACTGCATTTTCTAACCCTTTGCCGCTAAGCATGGAGATAAAATCTTCAATTTTGGATAAGTGTAATGATGATGTCAGAGAATGCATTAAAAAAATTTCAGATTTAACTGTTTCTTTCAGCATTTCAAAGGGTACGCAGTTTTAAATAATTGTGAAATTTCAAAATTTATAACCAAACTTTATGAACACAAATTCTTGAAATTATATCTATAAATTAGTCTTAATTGATTAACCATGTATTAAAATATATTGATTTTTTGCATTACATTTTTAAAAGTTTTTTTTTTATAATAATTTTTCATAAGTGAAGATATTATCTAAACTATCTTTACTAGTTACATACCATTTTTATTATCTTGTAGATCCCCGCTGCTGTGAAGGAGGTCACACCGCTCAATGTAGAGCTTCGTGTCGACAAATTTTATCTCCCACTGTTCATAGAAAAGAAATAGTAGACATGTTATTAAATAACGGATGTGACAAATCAAAAGCAAATGTATAAATTCTTGTTATAATAATTTCCAATTAATATGGTGTTATATTATATACTGTAATGCCTTGTATTTCAAATTTAATTCATTCCAGGAGGTAGTTTTAAGTTGACTGTTCAAACTCAAAAGCAATTTTCCATGTTAAAAATAATGGAAAATGAATTAATCCATTCCCACATCCAAAACAATACTCATTTTGATACACAGTAAATACACATAATTTAAGGTAAAAATAACAAAATTAATGTCCTGAATAATAAATTGAAACATAAAAACAATAAATAAAATATACAGATATTCTATAGCAAAATAAAAGTTGCACTTACTGTATTTTAGTAGGGAGTGATGACATCATCTCATTTCTTAAGATCACTATGCAGCTTGCTTGGCTTACAAATAATCCTCTCAGAGATGATATTACCAGCCAACTGCTTCTCGTTTATCCACACTTACTTGTTAGAGTTTTTCCATCTCCTAATAACATGCAATTTCCTGGAGGTCAACTTTGTCACACCTTTAATACCATTTGCTACTTTTATTACTACTACTGTTTTTAAGAATGGTGCTGTTGATTTTGGCATCTTAAACATGCCACCAGATCTGCCATATTTGTACCACTTTCATGCTTTGTGGTAAGTTCCTTTTTCATCTCAAATGTCAATAGTACAAAGTTTTTCTTAGGCTTTATGCTCCAGCTCTTCTAGAAATGCATGGTTAATAATTAGGTAGGAGTTACATATGTCACCAAACACACCAAAAATAAAGCAATAAAAGGACTGAAAACACATGAGTGTAATGCAAGTGATGCTTTCATAGTGAGAATTACTGAGGAATTGAGCAGGCAACAGATGGCATTTATACAGAGAACATATTTGCTCACTATTCATGCAGTTTGAACATAGAAGCATTATTTGAACTTTAGAATGTTTGAAGTACAAGGTGTCACTGTATTTATAAGTATTATAACAAATCAGTATATTTATATAAATTTTTTCTTTAATTTTTACTGATCATTATCAAATCTAAACTTTTAGAAATTAATAAGAAGAAACACCTTTACAAATCCAGCAAATAAATTTACTAATAAAAACGTTTTCAAACCAACATCAAATATAAATACTATGGGATATCTAGAAAGATTGGAGATTTTTAAAGTGCAGAAAAAAATGGATTGCATTAATCATAGAAACCCCGACAACTTGGCTACCACATGGCAGTCTTTTTATGAATGTTAATTTATTAAGAGACTTTTATTTATCTATGTTTATTTTTATTTTTTATTGTTTAATGTATTTCTGTAGTTATTTATTTATTTATTCCAGGATATATGGTTTTGGTTATGTATTCATTTTAGAATTCTGCTTAATGTTTATTTTCAAATTCACATTTTATTTTCACAATCTATTTCATCTTAACTGAGGAAGATCAGTAAAACCACTCGAAAACGTTTTTATTAGTAAAATTATTTGCTGGATTTGTAAAGGTGTGTTTTTCTTACTGAATTTTAGAAATGAATAATTTTTCTAATATATTATAAATTTAAGAGCTACAAATGGAAATCATTTTTTCACTTACAGTTTATAATTTCTATTTATGAGGCTAAACTTAGGAAATTTTATTTGGTTTGATTTGATATGTTACATTATTAAAGTGACACTCTAAATTAACTAACTGCAGCACTATTCATAGTTCAATAAACAGAGTGAACTTAAACAAAATTAAGTTTTTGTTACTTATTGGAAACCAGCTGTGCAGTGCAGGCATTGGGAAGAGTGAGTTATGAGATGCAATTGCCTAAGGAGGTTACATGTAGTTGTATTTTGCCACAATGAATGTCATTAAAATTATTTTGGTCACATATTGCCTTATTGATAAAGCAACAATTTTTGGCAGGGAACAAGATGGTTGTCCATTCCCTCCACTCTCAGCTGGCTTAGTTTGATGTGAATTTGCCTCATTCCCCAAAATTAAATCAAGGCTAAAAGAGTCTTGCTTTGAGTCATGGAAGAGGTGTTAAGAGCACTATATACACTGCAAAGGAAGCTACTTTTGAGGGTAATGGCAGCTAGATTTGAATACAAAATAACACTGGCACCTTTTATAGGTATAGTCTAGGAACTTTCCAATATCACCTCGTATTGTACATTTATCTATCTATTTGGAATAATTATTTTGGAATATAAGCTCTTTACATTCAGATGGAAATTAATTTCCATATATCCTATTATAAATCAGTATTGTACATAAAAGCTAATTTAATATCTAATTTTATATTTAATACTTTATGAGATCTTGAGCATTAGTAATTTATGTCATCTATGAAATAATGTTAGAGATGTCACTAATTTTATCACAACTATACAACATGAACATAACTAGTCAAAATGTTTTGTTCATTGTGGGCTGGCATGAATTTCTGACTTAAATACATGCCGTTTCAATCAGCATTGGATTGGCAACAAATTTCAGCCTGAAAATGTATATAAAACAGTAATAGATTGCATTTTCCATCAGTCAAATGTCTGTGTATAGGCTGTACATGGCTGCTTATGGCTTGAATTAGACTAATACTGTTTAAATTTAACACAATACTAATAGCACTTAATTTTGTTTATTATTTTACTTTTTCTCAAGTGAATTCAAACATAACATATATTGAAATAAGAAATTCCACTGAGCAAATGGCTCATCAGGAAGTTTCCAGTTTCACAGTGGCCCAGTTCATCTCTTGTTTTCATCATCTAAAACACAATTCTTCTTTCCAATATATACCCAATGAGGATGCATGATCAATGTGATCACTGCCTACTGCTTCCTTTTTATTTTAATGGCTTCATTTTCCTTCATAACTTTGTGCCTCTTTCCAAGGCTTTTACATATGAAAAGACATATTTTCATAATCATTTATCTGTTAAAATGTTATTTCTTAGCTTCATTCATGCCATTTGTTACATCTATACTTAAATCCATTTAGACTTATTAATGCTGCAGCATTACAAGAGATTCTACTTGTATTATAGGTCATTTGTTTAGTGAATTTAACCATTAGAATTTACTAAACTCCACCATACCTTTAAAATGCAGTCTATTTTGCAATCGAATTTCGGAAAATTGTAGAACGTGCGTTGTTGGAATTACCGTTGGGAAAGTTAAAATTTTTTACATCAATCCTGAAGAAGGTCTATGAATTAGACCGAAAACGTTAGATACCTATCCAAAATAGACTGCATTTTAAAGGTATGGTGGAGTTTATTAATTAATAATGCAGTTAGAGATTTAATAATTAGAGTTTACTTGTGATATACGATAAAAGTATTGAAAAATTTTAATTTGAATGATATAGACATCTCACAGAACTGTTATGATCATACAACACTTTGTCTGTTTAATAAATATGTATATAGAAGTGAAATAATCTCCATGAGAAAAATTATTTAGTACTAGAGTTTAATATCATTTTTTGTCTTTTCAACATAGAAATAACTAAACTATTTTATTAAACAAATACAGAAAAATAAACATGTGATTAACATTACACATTATAATTTGAGTATATTAAGTTGGTCAATTCTTATTGGTTGTTGCAATATTATAAATGAGATATTTCAATTTAATCAGTATTATATTTATTCTAATTACATAGATTTATTATGATAAACTTTAATTTTATGTTTAACTTCTGCTTTATATTGCATTTTAGAAAAGATTATGGCAATGCATTTATATGAAGGAAGAAAAAACAGAGGAAAATATGAAACAAAACAATAGTCTTCTTGGTTTGGACAGGCCAAAATTACAATGTTGTTCCAGAGCAGTATCAACAAAATGTCAAAAACTCTGCACAGATGTAAGTCAAGTTCATTTGATTCATTAATTACCATAGTATGGTATATCAGATGCATAGGCATATGAGACACCCCATTTTAGCACAAAATATTTAGGGAATTATTAAAAGGGACTTTTTTAACTGTATTCTGGTTAAAAAATGTAAAATTCAAATTTAATCTTTCATTTATTTAGGAAAAAGAGGACTTCAAAATTTACCATTAAAATATTCTACATGAATAAATGAAAAGTTGCTTAGCTATAAGAATAATAATAAAGTTGAGCTAGGTTGAGATCACCTCCTGTAACCTACTGAAGGCCATTTGAGTATTATTTAACCTGCAGGAGATTCCCACTGTGCATATAAGATGCAGAACACTTTTTTGGATAAAACTTGCATCCTGCAATCTGTAAAATATGGTACAAAATTTCTAAAATATAATTTTTGCACAAAGGAAAATTTAACTATTTCTATTCTTTCTGTTTCTTCATTTTATTAATTTGATTATTTAACAACAAGTATAGTTAATCCTTGATTTACAATTCAAGATGTAATTTTCATTGTGTAAAATTTAATATACCAATTCATATATTTAATTATGTAAAGCATGCCAAAAAAATATGGATAAAGAATAGCTGAATCCTTTCCTTTTTCATTTAATCATTATTTTTAATTAAATGCATTTAAATTTTAAAAAATATGATGTAGCAGTTTATTGGGAAAGAAGTTCTGACAGAAAATTTGAAGCAATATTTTAATTGGAAAGGAATGAAATGATTTGAACAAGAAGCAAATAACTTTCAAACACATGTACTACATTAGCTATTTTTGACTCCCAATAAAATTTCTGAATTTTATTTAATTAAAAATAAGGCATTAATGAGTAAGATGTTCCACTTCCACCAGCATTACATTTTGATACAAAATGTGGATAAATTCTGTGTGTTTAAATAAGTTTATTGAACTCTTACTAAAATAAATTTTTATAATTTTTGTACATAACATAAGATTACAAGAATCTAATTTTCTTTAAGTTACTAATGAAATTTTTTTGAAATTCTTAAAATATTTTTATGAAAAACAAAGTTAATTAATTAATCAAACATCTTATAAATTGTAACAGAAGTTAAGTGCTGGAATTTTTATTATAAATTATTTTCCAATTAAGAATTAATTTATTGTCTTGGGATTTTTTGTATCATTTGAAAGGTAATTATCATCACATATATTTTTCAGATGTCTTCCAGCGATCCTTTGGCAGTTGACAAATTTGAACAGCAGTGTGTCGGACAGATTGTCGAAAATGATCTGTTGCAGTGTCTCGCCGACGGTGAGCGATAAGTCTTATTATATTAAAAAAATATTTTCAAAAATATATTTTTAAAAATAAACATGTAGTGGACGAACCTTGCGAACTGGGATGCGAACAGTTGACGCACTGCACCAATTTTAACGACAGACCGACCGAGCTGTTCAGAACTTGTAACACTCACGCCGACAAGACGGCCAACACCGTTTACTCAATATGGCAGAGGGGGATTATTCCCGTGGGCGACACCAGTTTCCATCTGAAAGATATATCTCAATGCAATCCCGAAGAATGGAAAGCTTTGGCTTGCACTTTAAATTTAAAACCGTGCCAAAAATTGGACGAAATAGCGACAAAAGTTTGTAGGTAAGTAATAAAAAAAATATTGTAATCTATTATTCAGTAGCATTTTTATGATTTATGTGTTTATTATTTACAGATTAGATTGTGAGAAGTATTTAATGCCTTGCATTGATAAAAATTTCCTTTCAAAAGGTGAAACTCCTAGTGTTTTCTGTGATAAATTTGCTGCTAGTAATTTAGAGCAATGCATTTCTTTAACACCATATTTAAGTAAGTCCTAAATTATACTTAATTTAAAGAAATATCTTAAATTCTGTGTGTACAAATTAGGAAACTCAGTGCATATTTAATTTTTTGTTATTACAAACTTATTGCATCCATGTAATAAATATTACATATCACACTTTACAAATTGATTGTTGCTATTAATTTTATCTGTTTAATAAAATTGGATCGATTGGAATGATTTTACAATTTTTAACAGTGAAAATCAAGTTTCTCTTTTTCTTAAAGTGTATCCATTTTATACAATATGGTTTCTATTATTTACCGTCAACTTTTACTAGTTTGCAATAAATGTATTGATTCTATCTGCTTCTAAACTATGTGGTTTCTGTTAAAAAGCCCTGTAAATATTTTCATTTCACACTTTGTCTCCATATACGCTTAGGATAGTTACATAGATATTTCTCTTAGTATTACTTTCAACGATTAACCTTTTCTGTTGCTTTGTATTGTAACTTTTCAATCTTTTTAAAATGCACTCTACCACCATGATGAAAAATTTAATTTTTTATTATCTAAGGTGATGAGATCATCCAATATTTTACATGTATAATCAGTTAATTTGAAAAATAGCCTTAGTGATTAACAAAACTTCAAAAATCTTTCGAAAATAAAACAGAGGCAAAACTTAGATATACAATTAATTGTTGGTTTTAAGGCTATATTAAGTTATAAACTCCACAACTCTACTTTCGTTCCTAATTAAATGTGTATTTTTTTTATAAATTTTCTAATTCAAAGTCTGAAACAATGGTTTTCAAAGTGGGCACTACCATCCCCTTTAGGCAATGAGTAACTCTAGGAGGATGAAAAGAAGCAAGTAGGTGGCAGGGGCCTGAGCAGTGACCTTAAGCAAAGGTTGGGATCAATGGCAACCTTTTTCTTTTCTCTTTTAAAACAAATAAGTAGAAAAGTGTTTAAAAATATTTCCAAGCCTTTCTCAACAAGGGAAAATGGGTTGGGTATTGGAGCAAGGTTGGATGCATTGAGTATAACTTTATGGAACCAAGTGGCTGGAAACAGTTTGGGAATCACTGGTCAGAAACATTAAGAATGTGAGATACTCCACAAAAATATTTGAATCTCTGATTAAGATATTTAATTAAGGACCATATAAGGAACCAATGCTTTAAATTAAACGACAAGGAAGGAGGATCTATAGTATGTGACCAGAGGCTCGGCACCTCTTTAGTGCCTGGTCAGGACTGGCACACCAGTGTGTCTTCAGGATAGACACAGAAATCGCAACTTCGGAATATGCGCGAGCGATCTGATTCGGGATGGAGGAGGATTGAGAGATGACGTTTATTTATATATGTCTTTACATAAATACACAAAGTTACTGAGAATTTTCTTTTGCTTTAGTAGCGAGTTAAAGTATCTATAGCTATACAGCGTCATCTTGTGGAGAGCACGTGGATGGACAACACAAAGAAAATCGTCTACAACAATAGTTTTATTGTTCTTCGTGCTAGTATACAAATAATTCAGTGGTCCCAACTCCGATACATATAACTCGCGTAACATATAATGATATCGGAAAGAGAGTGCAACAATACTTCGCGACAATCTTAATCCGTGCTTAACCTATCTTAGCCTAACTTAACCTAATCTAAATACTAAATGAGACAGTAGAATTAGAGAAAAATATTAATATTAAGAATAAGAGAAAATAAGAGAAGGTTTGCTAGTGGGGGTACCCCGGGTCTCTTCTTTTTCTTTAGAATCCACTCACATCGATGAAATTGCACTCTGATGATCTTCCGTTCTTCCTGTGATGTCTCGCTCTCTTTGTCCACCTAATGCTCCTCTTTCCTTCGTTACGGCCACCAGGATCTTCTCCACCGGTCCGTCCTCTCCCAACGCTAGCTCGAAAGTGTCTCTCCCCTTTCTCTCCTTGCCTCGGGGCCTGCCTCCACACCCTTGTTTTCAGTGTAGTACTTAGAAATGTTTCACCACCAGCAGGGAGACAGGACCGTTAGAGAGTATGAGGAAGGGTTAAACAAAAGATCGAGAGAACTTAATCCTAGGCTTAATACAAAAATATAAATATATATAAAAAAAACAACTGGTGTATCACCACAATCTGAGGTTAACGGATTCCTGACCGAGAGAGAGAGTTTACATTTTATTTTTCGCGCGACCATAAATACCTTGTTCCGTCGATTCTTGAACTTCGTCGGACAATAGTGGATCGGGTGCACCCGGGTAGAAAAGTTCAAGTTCGTGGGAAAAAGTCAAGCTTGTAGACGGAGAAATCCGAATAGGGTTCCTGGAAGGAGAACCTCGACTGTCCAAAAAAGGGAGCAACAGTCGGGTGAACAAAAGCAGCGGACGTGATCGGCCATTGGGAAGCATACTCGAATATACTTTCTCAAGGAGGACGATTGGCGAACTCTCGTACTCTCCCCTTGTCCCTGAGTCTCTCTTTTTTTTAATATCACATTACGTTATCTTTTTTCTCCAATCGGGAATTTTTGATAGTAGTTTCCAGTGACACATTCGATGAGTTCCATGGGAAAGGAAACAACTCTGGAGAGAGAGATGTAATCTTTCTCCGGTAATAAAATGGATTTTTTTTAAGGATGAGAATTTCTATCAAAATTCGTCAGATCCGGTCCGTCACAAGTATATCTGTATATATGATTTCATTGGCAGTATTTAAACCATAAAACAGTATATTAATAAAAACTCTAAAAAGAATTTAAGTGAAATTGTTTAATTAGCTTCTATATTCGAACAATTTCTAAGCCAATTCTTAATTTGTTGTAACAATATGCCTGAAATGCAGATTTTAAACCCTTTATTTTCAATTAAAGTTATATAGACCTAAATTGTCATAGAGATTTAATTATTTTAGAGAGTTAATATAAATTATTATGCTTTAGCACCAAGCAAATATCAGAATCATTTAATCGAAGTCACCACTCCGTGCGTACCAAATCCTTGCTACGAAGACGAAGTTTGTATAGTGATTCACACCTGTTTATTTGGACGCGGATGTTTACCGTATTCTTGCGTTCCAGGTAATACGTGTTATTTATGTTTTATAATTCCGCATACCTCAATTTATTACGACAGTTATCGACGATATTTTTAAATAGGATGCCGAATGGGGCAAAGATCCAATCTAGTTGTGGCTAGAGGGACCTACGTGCAGTTACCTATGACTCCCGACGTTTATAATATTGTCTGTTATAAAGTTTGTTATTGTAACTTCAAAGGCGAGTTAGTAGATTGTATAAAAGCACCCTGCGGAAACAACGACAACTGTTGGAACGGCGGAAAGAAAATCGGTAAGTTTTAAATTTTTATTTAAATGAAAGTAGATTAGCGGAAAACGTAACGTAATTTTATCTAATAATAGCTCACAACACTAGGATTCAAAAAGGCTGCAATATTTGTTTCTGTTATGCCGGAACGTTAACCTGTACGCAGGAAAAATGCCATTCTTCGGGACGGGATCTGGAAAAAGGTTAGCATCGATTTAGTTTTTACTTAAGGAAATCGAAGTTTATTATATTTTAAACTAAAGTTTTACGTATCTTACCATCGTTTAGCTCTACCGTGTAATTGTCCGGACCATTACGTTCCCGTCTGCGGTAGTAATGGAAAAACTTACCCCAGCGCATGTGTAGCCAGGTATAAATATTAATTTTATGAAAAATTATCAAATTCGTAACGAAATGGCAATTTTTAGATGCGATTCGTTAACCGACGACCGGTTCGAATTCGGAGCGTGTTTCGATTCGGATCCCTGTAGTCCTAATTCGTGCAGCCCGCAACAAAGGTAATTTTAATACCGTTACTATTTCAATCCATTTTTGAATTGGGAAGCTTTTACCTGGGGATATTTATGCGAGCCATTTTTCCTCCGACCAGTTTGGCTAGACCTACAATGGAGCAGCTGGGAATCGACGTATTTGTTCCAAATCCATAGTTTACTTGAGAATCTAATCTAAAGTTAAATTCGCGTCACTCGGGCTAAAACTACGACAATCCTATTATTTACAATTAACAATATCAACGCCCATATTCCGTAATCAGAGTTATACTTAAAATAAACATTGGTATGTCAAATCTAGTTTGCAAAAAATTAGTAAAAATTACTCCACAAGACGGAGATGGGTTAAAATTGGGAGTAGACACTCGTGCAATCTCCTTATTCCTCTACGCTATTAAAACATACGACTGATTAATCTAAGATTCAAACACGTATTTTAAAAATTGTTATCGTATCTTACTACTTACTTGGATTAATTCGGTGATCTTTTTCCTTCCCTATTAAATGAATATATTTTCTTTCCGTACCTCTTTTCTGGCTTTTTTTAGACTTTATAACAATCCTCAATTGTTTACTTTTCCTTGCCACGACACCCCGAGTATCGTTATATTTTTTACACAATATTTCCCGGGCAAGTGGGTTTTTTCTGTTTGGAAGAAGTATCGTGTTTGTTTTTATTTTCTTCTACTGTCTTATAATAATTCCTGTAATACTATCTTTCCGAAATTAGTGAAATTACGACCTGCGTTGCGTACAATGGTCGGACTCGATTTGTGGTATTTTCTGGTTATAGTTACAGATTGGTTTATCAATAATTTCTATTAGATAAAAATGAAAATAAGTTAAATTTTTAGATCACTTATAAATGAATGATATTTTCCATACGCAACCTCAATCTCTTCGCTCGATTTGAAGAGTAAAGTAGACGTCATCGTTGTTGAACTCGTTATACGTTAATTAAAACGGAATGTGGTGAGTGTGGTTTAAAATATAGTCACAAAGTTTAAACGGTACGATTTGTGACATGCCTGTACAGTACTTAAGTTTTCTGTTCATAATTATAAATTCAACAATCTTTACAATAGGATGAACAACGATAAAGGTGCCAGTTTTACTCTTCGGATGGGGATAAAAAGTTGTTGCGTTTGTGCCACGGTGCGGAAATAATTGACATTAATTCTCGCTCGGGGTCTAGACCAGGGATGTCCAACCAGCGGACCGCACCGCGGCTCAGTTAATATATTCTTATGTGGCTCACTGAAACCTAAATTTTTTAGGCATATTTTCATTTATTTCGGTAAAGAATATAAAATTCATTCTCGTTTCACTGGATATACTTTGATGATGTAATGACGTAATTAGTGTTAGAAAACTGTTATGCACGTGGGTTTTTTAAACTCTTTCCGTTCTGCGAGCACTAAGAGGGCCTCTGTTTAGCAAGCCCATTACGGGTTCGGCCAACTCACAATGGGACGGTCGGGTGGTGTGGAACGTGGCCCCGACATATCCAGACGGACCACTCCCGAAAAATTCTTGGGCATTTTTAATCCGTCCAGATTTGAACTCGGGTCCCCAGAGCGGTAGGCTGTCACCTTGACCGCTCGGCCATCTGGCCATCTATGCCCGTGTGGTAGTACAGCACATACTGTTGCGAACAATTCTTTTCGGGCATGAAAAACATCAAAACTGCTGAAATAAATAGGTTGAGTGATTCCTATTTAGCATTCTTGGAAGTAAGACTAGCATCATAAAAACAGATATTGACAATATTATAAAAGGAAGGCAAGTCAAAAAATCGCATTGAATTTATTTTTATTTTGTAATTTTTTACTGTTAATAATATAGTATTTTTTGTAATTATATATAGTTGTTATTAAAATTTGATATTAACGTTTTGAACTTTTTAAAAGCATATATTTATATAAAGTACTTTTGTGGCCCGCTGAATATACCTAAATTTCTAATTTGGCCCATTATGAGAAAAAGGTTGGACGACGACCTTGGTCTAACGCTTATTTCTCAAATCTGTGGTCCGTATATTACACTTAGGGAATAAGACATATTTGATCTCGAATGGGGAATTGAGAAACGCCACTTCCTATAGAGGAGACTCGGAGTTTCGGCGAAACAGGGATTGATGTTTGTTTACGTTTGTGTTGGCCGTATGCGCTTTACTTTTTCCACCCGTAAACCTGTTAGAATTCCATGTTTTTGTACGTTATTACGACGTTACCGTTGAATAATGTGTTAGAACATAGAAGGATTAGGCAAAATATATTAATGGCAAACTTGAAAACTTTATTAGAAATAAATGTACCCATCATCATGAAGTTTAATAACACTTGATAATTTTAATGAATCGTATACATTCTGAACTTAAAAAATGTGTTTGTAAGCCTGTTTAAATGCTGTAGTAATTTCAATCTGATTAAGATAGCAAATTTGTAACGTTTGGTTCTTTAAGGGTTTAACATAACCTTCTGTTATTGATGTCATTCCCTCAAAATAAATAAAATATCTAAAGATATCAGATCTACAGTATAAAATATACTTTTGCTTCAATCAACTGAAGTAGAAATATTTCTTAAAAGAGTGCATAAATATGTTCCAACGAGGTGATGCTTAGTACAGTCGACCCCCCTATAAGATCATAGATACGTTCCATTCTTTAGGAATCCGATTTCTTACGAGTCCTTCCAATCACAGCCCGACACGTGTCAAGTTTACGGACTACTGCTATTTGAAAGGTTTTCTTCCATAAAATTAATCGATTCTAGACTAATCCGACTCAACATTTTCAAAATACGTATATTTTTTTTGGGAATAATCCGTTTAAACTACGCTATAAACAAAAAATTGTAGGATTACTTACCGAGTGTGCACCGCCATTGCTAATGCTTGTTCCCTCCGCGACGAAAACAAGCATTAGCAATGACGAAAGTTTTCTGATGATTTATTTTTCTGCGAAAACTTCGTTGAACTTCGGAGACATCATTAATATAAATAATTTTTATCGCCGTTGAATAAGAAATGTTTCTTTCACAAGAAATGTATAAAATTATAGTACTGTATTAGACTTACGGTACCTAATTTACATACTGTACAGACGATAGTTAGCTAAAAATCTCCGTAGCGTGGCGCCACGCTAGACGGCGGA